GTGGTATTATCCATATCTCCTAAACTCCCCTAAACTGTATTCTTCAAATCCGACCATTTATGAGTTCCTAAAGGTATTGTACCAAACTGAATGCCCACCACGGTCTTGAACTTGTGCTGATTGACTCTTCTAAATTCTGCACGACCCTACAAGATGTTTAACCGAGACATTTTATGTCCCTCCAATACAATTTGGTTACCCTTACAAACCTTCAAAGCTTCACATCTACCAAAGAACTCATAACCTTTTGAATCAATGATAGACAACGAGATGAGATTTTTCTTCAAATCTGGAACATGTTGAACTTGGCCAAGTATTCTAATTGTCCTATCCAAAATCTTCAATCTGACTATGTCAATTCTAGCAACCCGACAAGATGCGTTGTTTCTCATAACCACGACACCTTTGGAAATAGTTTCATACGTAGCAAACAAGTCCTTATTAGGACACATATGAAACAAACATGCTGAATCAAGAATCCAATCATCTTCTGATTTAAACTCAATGTCAGAAATAGCTAAGAGTTTCCCATCACTTACAATATTCTCTACGAGGTTTGCTTCGCTTGAAGTATCTGAATATCTACTTGCAACCATCATTTCTTTATTCTGCAATTTGTAGCAATCATTCTTTAAGTGCTCATTCTTCTTGTAGTAGTTACAAATTTGATTACTGAACTTAGATTTCGATCTGCCCCTTCCAGAACTACCATAAGCAACCAGGTGTTCTCCATCTTTGGCTTCAGAAACCGGATGCTTCATCTTCTCTTTTAAATACAAAGCATCATACACTTCCTCTATGGTGAAAGTATTACGACTATACAAAATCATGTCTCTAAAAGAAGAAAACGAAGCGGGCAACGAACGATCTCCTTAAATACAGCTAGATGATCTTCCAATGATCTTCCTTCTGTCATTCGATGAGAGTATAAACGCTGCTTGAGGTTCAACTTGCTTGTCAGACTTTCAACCTTAATCATAAAGCAGCTGCTGAATTCTCCTTCAGAACATCCTAAAGAATAGTATTTGATAGATGAAGATGAATGTGAGAAACAACCTTCTTATCCTTTTGTCATTTCTCCTATGTGGTGCGGGCATCTTGTCAATTCCCAACAATGCATCATCAAAATCCAGTTGTGCGAGTACTGCACATATCTTAACCTGCCACAACGAAAATTTAGTGCTCCGATCCAAAAACGGAATATCATACTTCATGGAAGTCATCACGAATAAAAAGCATCGAACAAATAAAAAATTATGCTCTTGCGGAACTGCTAAACCTAGGGCTTTGATACCACTTGTTGTAAAACAACCATGATACGATATTTGCTCTAAATATCAATTGTTGTGGAACAAATCACTGGATTGAGATGTTGAAATTATATGGCAAATAATAATGAAGTATTTGATCAAATAAAATAATAAAGAAGACAAGAATATGGCAGAGGAATTAAGAGATTTTATTGACTCAAAAATAATGAAGAAGAGAGAAATTACAATAGATCATATAATTCTACTAATATATTTTCTCACACTTATAAAATTGTATAGAAGAGCCTAGTATTTATAGGGAATAAGCAAGGAATGTCCAAACCCACCTAATAGAGTTATTGATGAAGTAGGATACCATAAAATTGAGTCCAAAACAAATTCCAACTCCAAATGGGCTTTCAAAATAGAACTTCAACATGACATAGGACTCTAATAATATTCCAAATTTGAATTCTTCATGACGTGCACTTCAATTAGAATTCTTTAATTACTTCAACAAGGACACCCGAATTCTAACACCATATTTCGAAAACAAATCCACCATGATCATACTTCCCAATCTTCGGGAAA